CCTGGACAAGTCCCTGCAGTTTTCTTGGCAAAATTTCAGAAGTGGTTTGCTACTGCCTCCTTCCTAGGGCTGAGAGAGGGGGACTGGCCCAAGGTCACCCAGCTGGCTTTGTGCCTAAGGCAGGACCAACCCATCGTCTCCTGATTTCTAGCTTGATGCCTTGATCTCTACACCACACTGGCTCTCATTTCCCTCTAATAGGCCATCTCTTTTTTTGCTCTCCCGCAGGACTATGTTGGGCTGAGAGGCGTGTTTGCCGTTGGCTGTGCAGTGCTAACATTGCCTGTATTTGCTCTCTTGGCCTTCACATTCGTTCCCCCACTTGTCTCCACAGTCTGGCTAGGAATCACCTACTCCTTTGCAGCCGTAAGTCTTCAGAACTGTAATGTATTGATTCTCTTTTGATTTCTACTCAATTGTAAGCCATCAAAAAGTTTCTATTATTGACCTAACGATGGCTCATCAAAACATGTTCCTGGGTTCTTCTTTAGAAAGAGAAAGGCTTCCCTTTAGAAGGAGGTGCGGAGAGAGAATCAGAGCAGAAAAAGAATCTTGTCCCCAGTTTAAGTGGAATTTTGATTTGCTGAGTCTCACATTCCACTGCTGGCTTCAACGGGTTTAGAATCAGAGTTGGAAGGGGTCACATAGGACATTGTGGCTAATTCCTGCTCAGTGCAGGAATTCGAATTGAAGTGTCTGATAGGTTAAACAGTCCTGAGAAATGAGTTGGCTCCTGCTACTGGGAGAGAACTAGTCCATCTAAGCTGGCTGGGGAATTCTGGGAGTTGAAGTCCACACATCTGAAAGCGGCCAAGGTTGTGAAACACTGGTCTAAGCAGTCTAATCTGGCATCCCATTGTGAGCATCAGTAAACAGAGGCTTAGAGGAAGGTTGGAATCCCATGATCACTTAGAAGTTGTTGCTTTCATATTGATTCTGGACTCTAAGACTTTATCTGATTGCTTCTTCTGAGATGATAAGTTTGAAGTTGCTGTGAAATTTGATTCTTCCTTTCCTACAAAAGTGGCTTCTCTCACACTATTTCCCTGGTCTGTCTTTTCAACTGCTTTTTGTACAGGCGAGCATGTGGCCTTCAATTCCACTTGTGGTTCCCCAAGCAACTTTGGGGACAGCTATGGGGCTCGCGACATCCGTGCAAATGATTGGCATTGGCCTCTCTAATGTGATTGTGGGACGGATCTTGGGAACCAAGTCCAGGTAAGAATAGCTGTCTTTCTGCTTCAGTGGAAGCAAAATAGTTATGCCTTCAGATGGAAAAGTGTCACAATAATTCCAAACTGCTTCCACAAATTGTTTGATACTTGGTTATGGAACTAATGTAGTAAGATGTAAATGCTTGGACTTTTGCTTCTCTTGCTACCTATGCAGGCAGATGATGTTCTTTTTTTAAACCTTTGCCAGTGAACTAAAGATCCCCTTATGGCGCTGGCAACAGATGATGATCTTCATGCTGGCAAACACCATCGCTTGCATTGGGACATCTGTCTGCCTTAACCTAGTAGATAAGAAGCAGGTAAGAATCAATCTTGGCCAATTAACAGAGGGATCCGTTGCACTGGACTATGTCCAGAAAGATTCAGCCTTCACAAAACTTTCCCACTTCTATGAATTCCCAGGGTGGCACACTGAACCGCTCAACCAAACGCTCACCAACCGAGGCGGTGGGCCAACAGCCTGTTGACACAGCTCCCCTCCTCAACGAGGTGGAAGAAGAACCATCTATCAACTAAGAAGAGGCCTTCAGGACATGGAATATAACACAGAAGTGCCAGTGGATCTCATTCTTCAACAGTGTATCCCCTTTTTCTCCTTTCTTCCAGGGTTTAATAAGGGAATTTATTAAAGAACAGGGCATAAATCCAGCCTATAGGAATAGCTCCTTTTTAAGCAGCTGTTAGGTGCTACATAACTGGCTTTATCTTAGAAACAGAGAATCTTAACACTATAGTTAATTCTACAGCTGCCATGAGCGCCAAGATTTTTAATGCCAACTTTTGAGATATTTAGCCATTAAGATTTATTTTTCAGAGCAGGAAATTTTCTGCTGAAGAGGTTGAAGTAATTTTTCTGTGAATCTTATTGGAAGAAAGGCAAGAATGCAAATTCAGTAGCTACTCTGTGCAAGCAGTTTTATGTACAAATCTTGCACTCATTATTTTAAAATCCTCTTGCAATGTTAAAGGCTGAATAACGGATTTTATGTTCAGGGTCCTTGTGGCATCTACCACACCAGTATTATCAATATCCATGTCAATTTACAGAGAAAATCCTTTATAATCTTCCTTTTCCAAAGCCATGAGGTATGTAATAGTCATAACTAAGTTTAAGTCAAAGTTTGCCTTCCTGACATGTCTGTTTGAATTCTCTTAGCTTTTTTTTGAAATATATTCTAACAGTGTTGAAATTCTTAATATATTCAGAAACTGAGGCATTATAGTACAGAACCAGATTTTTCAGTCAGTTTCCACTTAATCCTGACCTCTCCTTCTGCAGAAGGGTCGTGTAGCTCCATCTTCACCATTTTGGGACACACAGACTAACGCGAACGATTATTGATCTGATTGTGAATCGAATATTCTGTACTTCTTCCGCATAATATAATTACTAGTAATTGTGACTATATAGGTTGGTAATTTCTTAAGAGGGCTGTTTAACTCTGCTCCAGAAGTATAAACGTTTCTAAACTTAATACACTTTAAGATAATCTAGCAAGGCTACTGTTAGCTATATTCACATTACTCAGTCTGAACAGAGCTAGCCAGACAGCCCAGTGGCATTTAATGCTTTGAGCCAGCAGTAATATGATTGAGTTATGAGTTTGCTTTTGGCTCTGCTGTCCCTCAAGTGGTTAGCTGGCCTTAAATTTAAGATGTTGCACTACAATTATAAAATAACACCAGCCCATGCTGGTAACTGTTCCAGCATTATGTAGCCAATTACTGATGGGATCACCATTTGATAGGAAAACTCTGCTTCTGATTTGGGGAAGGGAGGAGGTACCACCAAACACTTCAGAATTTGGAAGAAATTAGGATGTAGACTACATTGAAGGTAGGCCTCCCTGAACATAGATGGGCTTATCTCTGTAAAAATGCACATCAGCATTTCCAATCCTCTCCTTTCTATCACCTTATTATCAAATTACAAGCCCACTTGGTTTTAAGCCACAATGCCAACCTTGGCTTGTTGTTTTCCTACCTCAGCTTGTAGAACAACAACAACAAAAAAACCCAGTGACCTATAACTCTGCTAAAGGCAGGCCACTTGGGATCCTAAGATTTAGAATGCCGCTACAGGGTGTGTAGCCATTCACAAGAGGCCTCTTTGCAAAATTAAAGTCAGTGATTGTTCCAAGCATTCCCTCTAGCCCCCCAGGATGTTCTGTGTGCTCCAAGGCTACTTTTGCCATTACTTCTAAACAAAGCATTGGGTTGCAGCCATCTACCATTCCTCAGAATGCTTGTGTAGCCCAGCTTGAATGAAAATAAGACTGCCAGCTTAATTTTTTCTTTAATTGAAGTAACTATCAAATGATATAAAGAGCAATGGACACATGTTGATTTGTCTAATAGCAACATTGTTCACATTTAGATCCTGGACAGGAAAAAGAAAGAGATACTGGTAATGTTACAAAGGGATTATATTAAAAAAAAAAGTGGATACATCAGACAACCTTGACTAATGTGAGAACCAATGGTACAGCAATGGATTCAATCAAGTTAATACTATTTCCCTGATCATTGTTACAAAGAAAGTCTTAAAGGCATTTCAGTAGAACAAAAACATTGTGTATTTATGGCAGGAAGAACTGGGGAAATCCTTTTCATTCCCCTGTATAGATTGTCAATTTAACAAAAAGAACTATTTGCATCATAACCTGTTCAAAGCTTTGGGAGTCAGTGGATTACCTATGGAAACTGAGCAGTCAATTGAGTGTCAAGGTTGCACAGCTAATGGTCATGCCACTCCACAATGGCTATTAGCACAAATAAAAGGAATTTTATAAACCTTGCTGCTTTTTTTTTTCACCCCCAACAATAGCTTCTCTGACTCAGAATTCATGCAGTGCACTGTTAGTTTGGTTACAAGTAAGTTCTCAGGATTACCAGCAACTTCACAAGAAATGACTGGTTTTTATGAAATGTATCTTGGGCTTAGACTACCTTAGTTTCTACATGTAAGACTCATGAGGTTATAAAGGGATAAAAGTCAGGACTTGAAGAATCCATCAGCTTTACTGTAATGGACTAACAAAATACAGCTGTTTATTAAGCAGCACATGATTCAACACATTTGAGTTGTCATCATTAACTCCTGGTGTAGTTTTTTTTTTTTTTTGCTTAAAAAGAAAAATACCCTTTCTAGATACACAGCGTAATCCCCAGCAACCTCTTGAGAGAAATGGTAGGCACAAAGTTAAATCAATAATAACTTAAGGCTTAGCTGGAAAGACTGCTCTCTAAAAGAGAGGCACTGGTGAAAACACCCCTTTGAAATTCTGCAACCCCAAGTAATCCATGTGTAGCAATGACCAATGCAAATAGCATCCAAAGCTGGCATTGGTCAGTTGTTCCCATATTGCTCCTTTTAGCACACCATTACAAAGCTGAATAGTGTCTGCACTCCACTGTTTTTTTTCCATCTCCCTAGTACTGAGGGAATGCTATTTATTATAACCAAGTGTATGAAAGAAGCTGGCAATAAATATTAACCGAAGTTGTATTTTAAGCATGGTGTGACCATTTACTTCAGAGTTTACAAGAATGCTAAACTACTTCAGCTTCTGGTATAGAGCTCCTCAGAAATACTTTGCAGCCAACTTGTGATATTGCTGAGGGATCAAGCTATTCTACAAAGGCCACTGGTTCTCTGGGGTGCCTAATGAACTTCAACAGAAGATGGGAGTTGAAAAGGCAAGCCTCTATGGTCTGATCATTTGACACTGAGAAATCCAGAATCCTACCACATAGTCTAGAAGGAATTCATCCAGAACAATATAAAGACCCTTCCCTTTTGTCTCTTCCCCACCTCACACTGCAGTTATGGGAAACAGTGCAAGATGACAGCCACCAGAGTATGTTGCAAACATCTTTGATGAGGAGAGACTAGCAGGGGTCTTGAGTCAGCTCCCAACAGTCTACAGTCAAGTCAGCTAGTGCATACCTCCAGCTTGTGCCTGGAGATGTTAGCTAACCATATGTAGCAGAACTGTAACACTACATTTTCCCTTGATTCTATACAGTATAACCATCATAGCCAAGTTTCTAATTCTGCCAAAGGCAATTTCTCAATAGGAACAAGTACGGAAGCAGCCATTCTGCTCCTTCAGTCCTCCCTTCCTTGGCAGTCGTCTCACAAATTTGTATCCATCTTTTGCTTCTGTCCTCTCCAGCAAAAGATTGCATGTAATACACACCTCAGGCAAACTTTCAGGATAAACCACTGGCTGCCATTTTGCCCATGTTCCTTTGGGATTTGTTACCCTGAGCTGCATCTGCATAGCAAAAAAGCAGACATGATGTCAGTAGGACACTGGTGGAAAATATGCCAGCCAAACAGGTTAGTATGTTTCTGTGGTCAAATAAGGAAGGAGAAACAAGGGAGATAGTATTTGGGTTTTTTTTCTAATTTTGCTTTCCCATGGTACTGTTTTTATAGGGATTGAACAACAAATGTTGGAATGTATTTTGAGAATGATCTTTTCCATAGCCTCTTGTAAAGTAACATCCATTCTAGGGTGACTTGCTTGTGAATGTCCTTTGGATTACAGAACAAGGCTATCTGAGCGTACAGTACTGATCTGGGTTGCTTTATGATTGGTCAACTCATATTTGTTCCAATGTGAAACAGATAACTGAAAAATTATAAAAATATGCAGTTTTATCATAATACTTAAAAATATGTTCACAGGGAAGAGACTACGCTACTGTAGGAAATATTAGGGCAGGACAGCTCTGACTTGGAAGGTAAGTTCATTACTTGTGAATCAAACTGAACAAATGACATTCCAGTTATGCAGACATCATACTCTCAACTGAAAGTGCTCTTGATTGTTTCCTGTTAAGGTTTAAAAATGGAGTAAGTGTGTGTATGTGTGAAAACTAGGCTTTACCCTTTCTCAATGGTATTAAGCTGTTGGAAATGTGCCTCAAGGAGTAGGTGCTTTACCCTTTCTCAATGGTATTAAGCTGTTGGAAATGTGCCTCAAGGAGTAGGTGCTTTACCCTTTCTCAATGGTATTAAGCTGTTGGAAATGTGCCTCAAGGAGTAGGTCATCCTAAGAATTAGGTTATGAATTCACAGGAAGGCGATAATCACAGTTTAAGGGTTATAACAATGTAAGGGCATTTAAATACTATCTTGCAAGTTAAAAGGCACAGAGATGTTAATGTTCAGTTGGCACACCTGGAAGTTCTCCCTGGCTTCCAGTAACTACAGATTAAGTGACCTCTTACATAAACTGTTTTTTTTTTTTAAAGAAAGCTTTTACACTTCTGTCCTTTCAAGGAATTCTCTCCATCTACACTCCTGAGCATTCAGGCTTCTGTTCCAGAAACTTGAGTGTTACACAGAGGGTAGAAGTCAAAACGTCTACAGCAATGTTGTATAGATGAGGTCCCTTTTAGCAGTCCCTCTAATTGTTTATATATGAGGCACTTTCAGTACCTTGGTTCTCAAGCTCTCTACTGTTAGGAAATCTTGTCAGTCACTAATTCCCTGGCCATTTGGGGGAGTGACGTTCAGGATCTGTCGGCCACATGAATCGGCACTATGCAATGTTTGAAGCAGGTGTATGGGGGAAGGAGCTGCTGAGGAGATGAAATAGATGAACATATGAGATGGAGTGAGGAACTGTTCCTGGAAAACACAGGAGGGCGAATACGTGAGTTATGAGACTACCATGGTTAAGTAATTTTTTGTTTTTTGTTACTCTGGATCCACCTCTTTTGTTACTGCCTGCCCTACTAGAACTAGTGGGCCCCACAATCTGACTTTTTTTCTGTTGGCAGAGGGAGTGGAAGCGGTGAGCCAAAGAACTTGAAAAATGAATCAGGCAGCAACTAAGCTCCACCCTAGTAGTTAAAGGTAACAGTGCTGTCTCTGCATGGAAAGACCGAGCGGTGTTTCCAGAGGGGAGACAGAAATAGCTAAAGGCAACCAAAGAGCAAAAATGGTAACCGATTAAGAGTCAGCAGAAAATTAGACTAGAACCTTTTCTGCAGCAGAAGCAGTTCACAGCCTAATGGAAGTTAAAATCTTCAGGCACAATAGCTTGTGCACCGAGGTTAGTGATGAAGGACAGGGTTAGTCACTAGCTTCTGAACAGCCTCCTTGGAGAGGATTCAGGATCTAATTTTAAACTTAAGTGATTTGGTTTAGCTCTGTCAACAGACTGTTTTGTGCCCCCACACAACCCGCTTGTTTCATTACTCTGCTTGTCTACTCAACCAGCCAAAAGAGGAGTGGCACAAAATGAAAGCTTTTAAAGCTCTTTCAGAAAGAGATTCATGCATGATTCATTTCAACTGTAATTTCTCTCAAAACCGACTTGCTCGGCAAGGTTCTCCTTCACTTTTTGCAAGATGACAACCAAGGGACAACTCTCGTTTTCAGTGCAGGCTGCAGCAGCATCCTTTCCTTTCAGACCCAGAGAAAATCCCCTCGAGGCTGTATTACCTAACTGGCACATCAAAAATTAGCATCACGCCTGGATTGGAATGTGTTCTGCAATCCGTCACAGGAAGGCTTCCTTAATTATGTTCAGAATGCAGAGGGAATGCAGGAGCTCAGGACTCATCTTGTCTTAGAAACAAACAGCAGAAAAGCTTATACTGATTGCTGCCCTGTATTGAATAAGCCAAACCACTAAGTACCTCCTCCTCCAAGCACCAGAAAACTAGCCTTTTGGTTCTGATAATGAAAACTTGGGGCGTTGGGGATGGGTGGGTAAGAGAGAGTGGCCTTCCCTAATAGAATGCAATGCTGGATTTGCCTCCAGGGGGGTTGAGGACTTTGTTGTGGGAGCGCGGCCGTGGCCCCAGCCTGGGCTCGTGATCATCTATCTTGGGGCCAGGTTCTTTGGTGCTCTCCTTGGGCAGTTCCTTCTTCTCACTCAGGTCTTCTCCCTGTGATCTTTGGTCTTCTGTAACTGTGCAAGATGATATGTTGCAGGTTAGAATATTATTGCCATTCATTTGGTCTTATCACAGCTATGGTGGCAACGCTTGGGTTTTACATGCGATGTTCCCAAGCATGGTGCAGCATATGATTCAGTCTCTACTCCCAATTAGTCTTCCACCACTGCCATCCTAAGCAGATGTTAGCTAGCCCAGCTTATGCAATGCTTCCCCACATGATCTCCTGGAAGGATGAGGGGGGACGGACGGAGGACTGTCTTAAACTCTAACATTTGTAGCATGGCATATCAAACATGGTACATTGTTAGGATTATATGGGAAAATCTATCAGAGGGACAATGGAGATTTCACTGGGTATCTCTCACACTACTAAAGCTATAATGTAGTTTTCAAGAGCCAATACGATATAAAGGATAAAATTATGGATCTGACTAGAGTGCATCTACACTCCGGAAGCCTTGCTCCAATTACCTTTTATTTCCTTTGATGAATCCCCTCTATCATTCAAGATAAAGGTGTGATCCTGGATGAGGGGGAAAAAAGGTTCTAAATGTTAACCAACACTTTTAAAAGGCCATTTTTTAATTTATTTGTTTCGAGCTTGAAAAGAAAACAAGTCTGGCAATCTAGCTTTACAAGACAGTGCTTCTAGGATACACAAACTCCACTTCCTGTATCAGACAGAAAAATCTTTAGAGATTTTGTTTTGTATTAACACCAACATTTCCCTTACAGACAGCTCAATTTTAATGCTACTGTTTATATTGCCTGGCCAGTCAGGACAGTATTAATTTCATAAGAAGTTTCTATTACTCAGGTGGATATTCAATAGCTTCCTTTATACAAACACAACTGCTTTGGCTACACCAGTGTTTCTCAACCTTAGCAATTTTAAGATTTGTGGACTTCAACTCCCAGAATTCCGTAGCCAGCTGGCTACGGAATTCTGGGAGTTGAAGTCCACAAATCTTAAAGTTGCTAAGGTTGAGAAACACTGCCCTACACGGGTTAGTGTAATTTGGGCTTCCCTTTTGGTGGCTTTTTTTTTTTTTTTTAAATTAAAGGGAGTGAAAGCTGTAAGAGAGTTACCTTGGGCTTATTTGGATGTGCTTTGACTGTGCTGACAGGTGACGGAGACCCAAAGATATTGCTTGCTTTTCCTCCAGGTGGATTTGTAAGTTGCCGAGATGGATTAGGTTTATGATCCTCAAAAATGCCACTGTCCTTCCCACCTGCAAGACAACAATAGCTGGGGAAGTTTACAAGAACTGCTCTTCCTCTCAGATTCTCCAGGAGAGGAGGAAATGAGCTATGAATTCTCTAGCTAGGATACTGAGGCCCTTCTGGGTCTAGAAAAGCTAGTAAAGCATTGGATAAGTGTTTGCTTTTTTAAAATCCTGTGGGTTTTTTTCAGATTTTTTATCTCGCCTTTATTATTTTTATAAATAACTCAAGGCGGTGAACATACCTAATACTCCTTCCTCCTCCTATTTTCTCTACAATGACAACCCTGTGAGGTGAGTTGGGCTCTATTTCTTAATACTCCTTTATTACAATCTTTGACCAGCATTACAAATAAGGAAGGAAGGAAGGAAGGTAGGTAGGTTATAGAAAACCCATTACTAAATAAATTATCATGTAAAAATAAAACAACACATCTAAGCCAGAGATTTGCACATCTGCATGGCTTGGTAAGTGTATTTTGTAACCTGAAATGTAAGTGAAGTGTTCACATCTCTTAAAAGATAATGTAAGTCAGATTTATCTGTACGATCCTTAAATTCTGAAATAATTGGGAAGAGCAAAGCACGTCTTGGGATACCATAAAAGGACCCCATAGGAAAACATGAGTTTCTACCTCTATAGAACCACAAGCACAAAGTCACTGAGGATAAGGAATCTCTACTTCCAAATAATTTTTGAAGGGTGTACCACCCAGTCCTTGTGAATGGCTCAACTTAAAAAGCAGCAAATAAAAGAAAAAGTATAGGCAAGGGGCTGCCATATTAAACAGACCTAATACTGAAGTATACTAGTATTAGTATTTACTCCAAGTAAATTAATCCCATTTCATTCACAAATGAAATTTTCGTACTTGCAACCAGGGGTGTCCACAGCATGTAAAAAACATCAGGTTTTTGATCACATAGTTGTGGCCACTATCCTGACTTTACTCCCTCCTTGTGGACACCCCTGCTAGCAACAGTATTCTTCAACTCCAAAGTATTAACACGCAGGCACCTAAAAATCTTACATCTTATCCAGGTGCCCAAGAACGTGATCATAGTACTTCATAAAACTTGTTTAAAAATTACATTCACAAGTAACCTTGCAAAACACTTCACTTATGCACATAACAAAACTGTTCTTTTTATGAGTATTTAGCTCTGAAATTGTCAGCAAACTAAATTATGTCGGCTAGTGAACAATTGGTGTTCTAGTTGAAAGCAGGATAACACATTCACTGTAAATGAAATCTCGTTGATTAGTACAAGGTAATTTGTATAAAATATCTAAGTTTGAATGGAGGCACAATATTATTTAGTCAACTGTATTCTAGAGTGAGGACCATCATAAATGATAGTTATCTTGTTTCGCAGATGAAACTACGAAACCTGTCACTCCCATCCACAGTATTTTCAAGAAGAGTATGGCTCTCACCTGGGGGATTTGTTCTCTTTGGGAAATTCAGAGGTTCTTCAGCTGCTCCAAATATGTTAGAGGCCATTCTGTGTGACTTGGAAGAGGAGGACACTTCTGGACTTCCAAAGAGATTGCTGGAGGTCCCACCTGGTGGCTGCAGCACCCTGTTTTGCAGAATATGGACAGCAATCAACCATGATCACTGAAGATAGTCAATACACAGAAACAGGCAGTGGGGGTAAGGTTCCGATATCATGCTAAGACTCAATACTGTTTATTCGGCTTCAGTTTAGCATAACTGTGGGAACTGTGTGATCATTTAATTTGAAAACCTTGGTTTGTGGCACAGAACAATGTGCAAACCTGGTCAGCCTCTGACCAATCGAGGTCCTTCTCATTGTCTGGCAGCCTTCATGGAATAATTTATCTAAAATATTTTTTGGGATGGGGCAGCAACAAGAGCTTCCCAGGAGGGTATAATACGTAACTATTGTCAAAATTAACATTTGTTTAAATCCATGTGAAGAATTCTGATTAAAGTATCAATCTCTGCTGGCAAAGAATGTTCATAATACAGACCTTTGCTATGAGAACTGTATGTATACTTCCCTCCTCTCTCCCCCCAAAAAGTGTGTGTGTGGGGGTTGTTGGAAAGAAGGATCAGCAATTGGCTTGATTCTTCTTGCTGGAGATCTTCCCCTTCTCTCAGTTGCTGGGTGAGGCCACAACCACACCCAATCCCAAACTGAACAAAGCTGAAAGCTTAACTCAATTGATCCCTTGGGAACTTGTTCACACCCTCTGATGAATGTATGAAAACTACTTGAATACCGATTCAGAGATACACACTAAGTTATATGCCTTTTTTTTTTTTTAGATTACAGATTTGCATTATTGCCTACTACAATACAGTACTGCTCTTTATTTTTCTCTCAAGGATTAAACTATTTTAGTACTGCATTTTATATATTGATCTGTTAAAGGCTATTAGTCTAATCAGCTCTCCCCAACTGATGGACTCCAAATGTGCTGGAACTTCACTCCACAGAATTCTCCATCATCATTTAACATGGCCCAGAGACATTAAAAAAAAAAAAAAAAGCAAGTTTGGAGTTGGCAGTTACAAAGAGTTGGGGCTCATTATCAGCAACAAATGCAAATAGCACATGAAGGACTATATCACAGAAGATTAACAAATATATATCCTTTGTTTTGGGCATAGTTGCATACACTGTTAGACTGTTGCAGTCAATGGGAGGTCAATTTTCAAAGTAAAGTCCAACTTGCCTGCAAAGCTACCGACTGCATCATTAAAGAATATAGCCCTAATGATACAGACCACTGTACATTATACACCCTGAAGGATTATAGTTCTTGACTATATGGTGTAAAGAGCAAGGACCACCTATGATGACTAATGCCTATTAAAAAACATGCACTTCAAGAATATGTACTGGAAGTCTCAGTGACAGAGTAGTCAGTTGACAGATTATGATCTAAAAAAGAAGGAAGAGAGATAAGATGTTTCCCTGGTAATGCTATTTGCCAAGGGGGTGGCAAGAATGTACTATTATAATCCATTCCAGATACTATTATAATCCATGCCAGATGTTTCCCATGCTTATTTCAAAAAGCAAATTTCCTGTACAAAGTGCTTGGATAAGAAAAAAAAATTAATATAACTCCACTACAGAATTGCAGCTATTTTCTTTCAATGTGCCACAGTGGAAAAGAGCCTGCAGTATATATTATATATTCATCAAATGGAAGTTATAGAAGTAGCCCAATAATTCAGACATGGTTTGGCATTACTTCACACAATTTACATATAAACCATTTTTCACAGGCAGCTAATCTATCTTGGATTCAACTTCAAAAATGCATTTATGTAATTCCTATTTCCAGAGCTCATCCCATGCTCTACCCTGATGCCTGGGGAAAGAACCAGAGTTTCAGGACCTCATGGGAGGCCGGGAGGGTCAGGGCAATGTGAACCGTGAGGTGGACATTGTTCCAGAGAGCAGGTGCAGTAACAGAGAAGGCACCCCTCTGGGGTCCCACTAGGTGATATTGTTTCATGGAAGAAACCCAAAGCACACCCCCCCTGCTGGATTTCATGGGAGAAGCAGAAAAACTGGAGACAGATGGTCCTGCAAATAACCATTTGCAGATGGTCCTGCAAATGTACCATGAAGGGTTTTATAGGTAATAAACAACACCTTGAATTGCGCCTGGAAGCCCAAGTATTGGTGCTACATAGGTGCACCAATAACTACTCGAGTTGCTGCATTCTGGACCAACTGCCACTTCCAGGTTTTGTTTCCAATCTGAAACATTTTGCATACTTCTTGAGGCTAACAGAACCAATCACCTTTTTTAACAACTGTCACTCTTTCCTTCTCTGCAGGTTCATAGGACACAGCCATAATTCTAGAGGAATAATCTGTATAATCTTTAACACTGAAGTAAACAGTGGGGTGAGTTATTCATTAAAGAAAATTCTTAATCATCAAACTGCCAGGCTTCTTTTGTGAGAAGTAACTTTCAGCCATGTTACTGAGACCATAACATTGAATGCTGAATCTTGCGTGTTCATTTATTAAGCAACTTGAATTTTGAATATTAATTGTAAAGCAGCTTTATTTGGAAATTCTAATCATTAGATTCATTATAAGTTCACTAATGAAATAAAATATATAGAAAAGATATAAGTGTTTCATATAATGCCCCTACATCCCACTGAAGTTTAGAAGACTACTCTTTAGGTCAAGATGCTGCCTGGCTAAAAAATGCCAGAGATCAGTTACAGTAGTCTGGCATAATTTCAACATATGATTATCTTGTGAAACTGGCATAAGTCTTGCTGACTTATGATTTATTGATTCACTGCAAGCATGACAGTGATATTGATGAAGCTTTTGCATGAACATTGTGGAAGGACATAAATTCCCAAATAAAATTTCACAGTGCTTGAGTAACGGATGAGTTCTACAAGTCCTCTCAGCAAAAGTCTGTGGAAAACCATTTGGGACAACCTATCCCAAATTGCTTAACAGAGAGTGTGGTATCAAGAGTCCTGAAAGAGTCTGCAGTGAACTCCCTGTTGAAAAAATTAAATTTGGATTGGGATCCAAATCAAGATCCTTAAAAACCTTCATGTGCCAACCAAATATTCACTAAACTGAACCTTCCTTCGCTATCTTGGTGGGTAGGGAAGTTTATTCTCTAGGATTCTTAGTGGTTTTTGATATCAGAAGTTATGATATATTTCTGGATGATCTCATGATGATGGATACTGTTTTTACACTAAATCCATTTAATCTTTAGAGGATCGGTTTCAGAAAGTGGAACTGAAAGACATTTTGATCATGAACGAAATCCATTCAAACTCATTATCCACATAATTTAGATTGTACAGACCAATTTGAGGCCATCTAAATATTTTGGAGTAGAACTCCCATCATCCCAAGCTGGAAAATGGCACACTGGGCAGTTTGGTACATACTATGAACCATTTTTTTACAACCACTGTAGTATGCTGATTGTTTCAGATTATAGCTGGAGAAAATATGCTCCAAATCCAGATTCAGTCATAAACTCATATAGGAAGTGATCATCTCCATATTTACACACAACCACTTGTATCTAGAAAATGAAGGTCACCCAGTCAAGCGCATTACCAAGGTCTTGAAAGGGCCAGTGATAAATCTATTCATGAAGGTGTACTTGACTGCTATCAGGTGATATACCCACCTCTTCTTTTGGGAGAAGTTTGTTGACAGACCATGGGGCTCCAATCACAGACCGGCAGAGAGGAAGAGGGTTATCTAGATCCAGTTCAGTCAGGATTCTACCCAGGAATGGGATAGAAATTCCCCTAGTTGCCCCAGTGGATGACCTGCACCAGGATATGGATTGCGTCCCTCTTGGTCCTTTTAGACCTGTCAGCAACCTTTGATACCACTGATCATGGTATCCTTCTGGACCAGTTGTTGAGCTGGGAGATCAACTAGGCAGTTACCTGTGTGTCTCTCCCTTCAATATTTACCATCTACATTAAGTCAGAGTGTGGGGAGGGACTCATCAGGATGTGGCACCATTAATATACCAATTATATCCCATGTTACATTGCCACCCCTGTTCAGGCTGGGGGTGGGAGGTGAGGGAAGGGACAGTGCCTGGAGGCTGCAGGGAAACAGCAAGATGGGACAGGATCCCTGCAAGATGGAAGTGCTGTTTATCCAGAGACCACTGTGCAGTCTGCCTGCTCCTTTGTCAAATTTGGATAGGGGGACATTTGCCCTGTAGGAGGAATTCCACAATTTGGGGTCTTAGACTTAAGGCAACAGCTAGATAGGCAGATGGAGACTGTAACTAAAGGGGCTTCTGCCCAGGTTTGGATGGTACACTAGTTGTGGCCTTTCCTGGAACATTACGCCCTGGCAACATGCCCTCATCACTCTGAAGGCTACTTGGAAATGACAGTATAGAATGCAATAGTCTACTAACTGGTGAGTGAGAACTGTCAATTTCACCTAACACCAATGCTGCTCTGACAGCCAAAGGCTTCTGAATACAGTTCAATGCCCTAGTTTTCATTTATAAAGCCCTGTATAACTTGGCATTGAAGTATCTGCAGGACCACAGTGCCAAGCCATACAGTGCCAGCCCTGAGGGGGGTGTTGTGGTCCTCCCTCCCCCCAGTGAGATCAGAAGAGGGAAAGCTGGAGTGCATTGTTTTCATGCTGTTCCCCTCTGTTATGGCACAGCGAGCTGCTCCAGAGATCCAAATGGGCCCTTCTTACATTCTGGAAGGCAGTTAATGTGGAACTTTAAGAATCTTTATACCAAAGTTGATATAATGCTCTGACATTAGGGGAGGGTTATGTTGTGGGGCTTACTGTTGCTCTTATGTACTTTATTTGTTGTAAACCACCATTAGTTGTTTGGAGCTAGTGGTCTATAAATATGATAGAATGAATAAATAAAATATATACCGTTTAAGTTATGAGAGGTCTAGTAAGAAAAGACTGAATTCCAACTTTTATCCTGAGTTCCTGCTTCATAAAAAAAAAGCCCACTTCACACTGCCTGAAGGAGCAATTCGTTGGCAGTTTTAGAAAGAAGATTTTATGCCTCAGGCAAGAAGCAAAACTGCAGAGATGTAGAACTACAGCAAGATC